AATCAGTGAATGAACAGTGAATGAGTGAGTGAATGAACAGTGAATGAACAGTGAATGAGTGATTGAATGAATCAGTGAATGAGTGAGTGAATGAACAGTGAATGAGTGATTGAATGATCCGTGAATGAGTGAGTGAATGAACAGTGAATGAGTGAGTGAATGAATCAGTGAATGAGTGATTGAATGATCCGTGAATGAGTGAGTGAATGAATGAGTGAATAATCAGTGAATGAGTGATTGAATGAATCAGTGAATGAGTGAGTGAATAATCAGTGAATGAGTGAGTGAATAATCAGTGAATGAGTGAGTGAATGAATCAGTGAATGAATCAGTGGATGAGTGATTGAATGAATCAGTGAATGATCAGTGAATGAGTGAGTGAATGAGTGATTGAATGAATCAGTGAATGAATTAGTGAATGAATCAGTGAATGAGTGATTGAATCAGTGGATGAGTGAGTAATTGAGTGAGTGATGAATGAGCATTAGGGCATGGATGAATGACTCAGTGAGTGAGTGGGTGAGGAACTGAATCCAGGCAGCCCCACAAGTGGCATCAGGACATGTCCATGCGCCCAGGAGATGACCTCTGAGCTGTGGCTTCAGCTGGTGAACCCACACTCCCAGGGTAGGCTCCATAGAGAGCCTCTAGATGCTGTTGCCTAGTACCCAGCTTGGTGTGTGTGCATGTGTGGTACCTCCAAGGGCACAGGGAGCTCAGCAACTCCACAGAGGACCCAGTGACACTTTGCAGAGTGTGGACAGAGTCCTGGAAATCCACCTAGCTCCTGCTCCTCCCTGTGCCCGCCATCCACCCTCCAGAACTGCCATGATCTTAGTGGATCCCTCTTCTGTGAAGACCCAGGGAATGAGTCAGTGAACGAGTGACACCTGGCACACCTGAGACACCTGGCCTTAGTCACTCAGCACCAGTTACACCAGGGGTGGAGGTAGTAGGCACTGCTGGCCCCAGGCTCCAGAGCTGGTGGAGGGATCCAGACAGGCCTGGAATGGGCAGGGAAACTGTCAGCCCAGGGGCCACATCTTACATCAGTGCCCAGCGGGTTCAGACCTGGCCCAGCCCCAGCCCAGGACAGGCGGGGCAGGGGGAGTGCAGTCAGAGCAGATGCCAAAGAGCAAGGTGTCAGCTGGCTGGGTCCTGGCCACATGTGGGGAGACCTGGGCTGGACCTTAGAGGATGGGGGCTGACACCTGGGCACATCCTGGGGCTAAGGGTCCTGCCTAGGCCTCCTAACATCTAAGGGGTCCCAGAGCCCCTCTGTCTAGGCAGAAAGTCCTCTGACCTGTGGACATTGGGCAGGGCGAGGTCAGACATCATCTAGATGTCCCTGTGACATCAGGAGGGCAGGGACATTGTCCTCATGTCTGTTTCTTGTCTCACAAAGGGAAATATGAGGCCCAGAGAGGCTGCATGCTGGCCATCAGCAGCATGGACGTGGGAAGCTGGTCTCGAGTCCCTTGTTTGTGTGGGCAGTTTCCCTGGTCCCAACTCCTGGAACTTGATGTCACTGTTTCGATCACCTGCTGCCTCAGTTATCATGAACCAGGCCCAGCTGGGGAGGGGCTAGGGGCCCAGCCCTGACCCAGCCCTGACTCTGCCCTGACCCCCAGGGCTAGGCTGCTTGGTCTGAGGTCAGAGCCGTGCTGGCACACTTTGTTGGCAGGAGTGTGGCTGCATGTCCTGAGCCTGCCACACAGGGGACAGGTCAGGTCGAGGGCTCAGGTCCTGGGGCTGGACTTAGGTTCTTGGCAGGCCTTGTCCCTTGAGGCAGCCCCGAGTGGGGACGCAGACCGCCTGGAATCTCAGAGGTGTGGCCCCTGGAGGGGGTGAGGTTGGCTTCTTAGGGTTCACATAGCGACCCCCTGGGCAGGGACTGGCTGGAGGACCACGGCCCTCCCACCCCTTCTGCCCTGTGGCCCCCAAGGCCCCCCAAGCTCCTCCTGCTCTGAGAGGTCAGGGAGTGCAGCTGGACCCAGTCCTCTCTGGGCTTTGGGTTTACAAGGGGTTCACCCTGACAGCTGGCCTAATGACAGGCGGCCTCCCTGGGTGTGGGGGGGTCACTCTGGCAGGGCCTGACAGCATGGAGGTTGAGGGTGCCCAGTGTTCTCCCCAGGATCTTGTCCCCCATCTGCCTCACCTGATTTGGGCTATCTGCTCCCAGCTGTGTGGGCCACAGAGTTGATTTGGGGGGTCAACTCTGTTAGTGACCAGGTGGGGGCAGCAGAGGGGCCTTCCAGGCATGACCACTGGTGGCAGGGCAAAGCACAGCCTGGGAGCTTGGCCAGTCCTGCAGGTCTGCTCTGGGTGCCCTGCTGACCCCACTGACCTCCCATCACCCTAATTGGTGATGCTGCCCCCTGGAGAGGATCAGGTGTCCCAGCAAGCCACCTCTTCCTCTCAGGGTGGGGTGGGCACTGCAGTGACTAACTCTCCACCCCCCGGAGCCCTCAGAGGCCTGCGTCACCTCCCTGCCTGGAACCATGGCATGGTAGCAGGAAGTAACCGGATCACACGTCCCTGGGTGGCAGCACCCGCCCACCCTGGCCCCCACAGTCCAGGCCAGGTTGTGCAAGTCACTGTTTCCAGAAAGAGACACAGAAGCAGGACATGTCCCAATAGTGTGGTGGGGCCATTTGCTCTGCCCGCAGTGCGGCCCCTCTTTCCCATTCCTCCTGAACACGCGAAGGGGTGGAATGACCGGTCACGCTTGAAATGAGCAGGAAGAGGCTGTGGGCCCAGGCTGGCTTGGGCAGCTGCTAGGTGCCCCTGAGGCCCCGTGAAGCCTGGCCCTGGGGCTGGGCCCGCTGTGGGGGCTGCCGCAGGGGCCCACAGACTTGAGTTCCACCTCCTTCATGCTGGGGAAGACCCTCTGTCCCAGGGCTTCTTGGAGCCTGGCAGACCTGACCCAGCCCTGGCCCCCAGGGGTCAGAGCCAGGGCACTGAGGCCCCCGCAGTCATCCTGGCAGGGCAGGGTGGGGTGGCACAGGTCGGAGGGGCAGAGCAAAGCAGGGACGGGGGGAAGGGAGAGTGGTCTGGGGGCGGAGGAGAAGGGGCCTCCAGACCCCTGCCACCCCCTAGAGGTCAAGGTGACAAAGCCCTGGAGCGGGGAGGGGGGCAGCCACGCAGAAGCAGGGAGGTCTCTCAGGGCTTTGATGGGCAAACGCAGAGGGGTTCTGCCCACAGGGTCCCAGGACAGGGTGGCCGGGACACGAGACCCCAGCAGGCCTCTCGCTGCGGTAGCTTCCTGTCTCCCCTCAGAGGAGAATGCTCTACTCCTGAAGCCCAGCTAGTGGGCTGCGCCCAGGACTTCACCTTTTCACAGACAAAGCAAAACTGAGGCCGTGGAGGGCCACCCCCAGCGTGTCCTGTGGGTGGTCGCCAGGGCTGGGCAGGGGGCTGGCAAGGGTCGGAGCAGCTGCCGGGGCAGGTCCAGCGCGTGCTCTGCTCTCTCTTCCGTCACGGAGTGACTCAGTTCACCTGCTGGTGACGGCCCTGCTGCCATCTCACCCACCTCTGCCTGCCACCACTGTCCCAACCTGCATGCCCTCAGCTCAGAGCCCTACCCCAGGGGTCCCAGCCTCGGTGGCCTTACCTGTGACCCTGGGGCAGGGTCTCCTGCACTGGACTCCCCCTGGCTCAGCCTCCACCTGGCACAAATGGCCAAGCAAGGTCAGGCCTCCTGAGCCCTGGCTGAGCCCTGGCTGAGCCCTGTCCCTCCTGGTGCTTTCCTCATCACCACTGTCCCCACAGTCCACCCCTAAGCCCCAGGCCCATCCGTGGCTGTCGGGGGGGGGAGCTTGATGTCCTGTATCCCAAACTGGGGTGGCACTGTCCCAGCACAGACCCCCGCCCCCCACTTCTCCCAGCTGCCCTGGCGAGTGAGGATGGCCCCGGACCTGGGTCTCTGGCTGTGCTCACTCCCTGCTGGGGGAGGGGACCAGCCGTCGTCCCAGGAAGGAGCCCGTGCCAGCTGCTGCCTTGCCAGCCCCAGCACCCGACGTGGGGCCTTGTGGGCTGAGCTGGGCCACAGGAGGGTGCCCAGAAGGGTCCCTAAAACAGATCACAGCTGCCACAGCCCAATGCAGACCTGTTCTTCCTCCAAGGCAAACAACCGAGACTCCGTGACATTCCAGAATAGCCAGGCTTATGCCCTCCATGGGCCCCTGGCCCGTGCCAAGCCAGGACTTGTTCTGTGAGTGTCTTGGTGCTTCCGAATTGAGGAGCAGGCCCGCCACAGCCTCAGAGGCCCAATTTCCAAAGACCCCAACCTGGGCTGTGAGGAGTGGACCTCTGGGCACTCGGCAGGGCAGCCCTTCCCACCCACTGGCCCCTCCCACGACTCTTGCACTTTGGCTCGCAATCTTTCAGTTTCCACCCAGAGGAGTCCCCCTTCA